CCCCAAGTCAGACCTGGTCCTCCCAGTACCTTCCTTGGCCAGTGTCTGCACCAGTTCCTTTAGCCACTGGCTCTGCTCCCAGAGGCACTCTGTCATCAACACCAGGAACCCCGCGGGGGGCTCCGGGGACAGAGGGGTGGTGCTGGGCCGGCAGGCTGGGGTCAGCAGTCCCATTTGGGTAACAGCAGCAGAGCTCCAGGTGTCCCTGTGCTCTGTGAAGTGGCCTCAGTGACAACCATCTTGTGGCAACTGCGAGAACTTCAAACAAGACCCTGTCCTTGAGGTCCAGGGCCCAGAGCCTGGCGTAGAGCAGACCCACAAATGGCGTTAGTCCCCCTGACCGTCAGTTCCCTATGCTGTCAGATGGAGCCACCCCTGAGTCGGCGTGTTCCTAGGCGTGGCTACGAGGTGGGACATGGGAAATAATTTTGACTGTGCTCTCCAATGTGAGATATCATGATCACTGGGCTGGAAGGTTCTGGAAACTTGTTAAGGCTGGATAATATTCCGTTGTATGTAAGTAGCACATTTCATTTATCCGTTTCTCTGTTAGTAGATACTAGAGTTGCTTCCACCTTTGGCTATCATGAATAATGCTGCTATAAACACTGTACAAAAAGCTGTTGGGGTCCCTGCTTTTGCTTCTTTTGAGTGTAAACCTAGAAGTGGAATTGCTTGATCAAATGGTAATTCTTTGTGTAGTTGTTTGTTGTTTTTGTTTTTGGGAACCAGAATACTGTTCACCACAGTGGCTGCCGCATTTTACATTCCTGTCAGCAATGCACAAGGGTTCCAGTTCCTCCACATCTACTCCAACACTTGCTATTTTCTGTTTCTTTTTTAAAAATAATACCCATACTAATGAGTGTGAAGTGGTGCAATGTGTATCTTTTTAAGACATCTTTCAAAATGGGGCACCTGGGTGGCTTAGTCATTAAGCGTCTGCCTACGGCTCAGGTCATGATCCTGGGGTCCTGGGATTGAGCCCCACTTCGGGCTCCCTGCTCGGCGGGAGGCCTGCTTCTCCCTCTCCCACTCCCCCTGCTTGTGTTCCCTCTCTCGCTGTGTCTCTCTCTGTCAAATAAATGAAATCTTAAAAAAAAAAAATGTCCACAGTTGTTTTGTGTGTATGGAATTTTCTGCATAAGTAGCATTATGTTACTTATCTCATCCTCAGTGTTACTATTTGCACTTGGAACTGTTTTTAAGATCCATCCATTTGCTTTGTGTACACAGAACTCGATGCTTCTAATTTGTGCAGAGTACTCTGTGGTAAGCACCAGCCATATCCATACTGTGTGTGGAGCGTACTGTGTGTTTGTAGCAAGCTCTTAACATGGGTTATTGGATTTCTTCCAGAAACCTCCGAGGTAGGTGTATTATTTCCATTTTATGGAAAAGGAAACTGACATACAGAGAGGTAAGAGACTTGCCCAAAGTCACAGAGCTGAAAGCTGAACCAGCTGGAAATTAAACCCAGCTCTGTCTGGTGCCATGGGTGGGTTCCCATGTGTAAGGTGCTGCACAGAGCCACAGACCGAGGCACTCTCTCAGGGGAGGCCACTCCGATGAGAGTTCTAGTCCTGCCTCGACTCTGACTTAGATCCCTACTGCCAATCACCTCCCTTCACCAGATGTCACTTTACATCTGTGTAACATGAAGACGGGACAATTTTAAAGCTCTTTCTAGATTTGCCACTTGTTGATTAAACACCCTTAAGCTAATGGAAAAAAATAATCAGAATTGAAGTCATGTGTTTGTTTCTCTCCAGTGTTCTACCTGGGACCCACTCCAAATACATGAGAACCCTTTGGCAAGTCCATTTGCGAGGCAATTCCTGATAGGACTGGGAAACAGAGTCGCTGCCTCCGGCCCCATCCCACCTCTCTTGAACTTTGCACTTATGGTGATGAAAAATTAACTGGGCTCATGTTTCCCTTCCAAGGACAACCTCTGCAAAAGCTGGCCTGGCTGGGCCCCAGGAGACCAGGCACCAGAACAGAGTTCCTATCCATCCGGAGCCGCCCACCCATTCACCACCCAGAGTCACAGGAGCACACAGGGTCCTCTTGGCCCCGGAGGGAGGAATCCATTCCTCAGCCCTCCTCACTGCTTGGTTGAAAATGGGCTTAGTCCCTCGACTCTTCTTGTGGAGAGACTAAGCCCAGAGGAGAAAGGACTAGGCCAGAAACGGCCTTTGCTGGACTCACACGTGGGTCTGGCCCTGTTTTTCTGCATGCACAGCTGTCCCTGTCACACGGATGACGGCATGTGAAGGAAGTGCAAGAAAGCGTCGTTCAGCCACACTAACTAGCTGCTGACTAGTTATTTCCTCCCCTCGGGAAAATGGGAGGGCTGAAAAGGAGCTCTTCCCATGCCCCGATTTTAGAGGGTTAGGGACACACCAGGCCCTTCCACTCCATTTAATTTTTGGATCTCTTTGGCTCCTGACCTCCGTGGAGCACATCCCCTACCTCTACGAGACGTGGCTTCTGCCTGTGTGAAATGAGATACTCGTATCGCAGGAGGGCACTTTTCATGCTCTTTCTAGATTCACTACTCTGCACAATAACAACTGTTTGCTCCGTTCTTACAGCTGAGAGGAGATGCTCAGTGAGGTGAAGGGAGCCAGGACAGAAAGTCAGGTCAAGTCACTGATGGAGCTTGAGGTCCTCTTACTTCATCTGACTGCCTCACAACAGTCCCAACTGCATGATTTGATATTCAGGTTAAAATTAATATTTTACAATGGGGGGTGATGCCTGTAGGGGCCCTTTCTCCCAGACACACGCCTCCCATGCCTTGGTGCTTCTCTAGGCTGTGAGCTCCCTCAGGGGCCTTCATCTTCCTTTGCAGCCTTCCCAGAAATGAGGAGGAGGGCTGCAACCCAGAGGCATCCCACAGATGCATGTCTAACAGAACTGTTCTCGCTTAACCGCACACCACTCTTGGTGGCATCAGCCCCTGGGGCCCCAAGGTGTGGTTCTAGCCCTTCAGAGCACTTGACTGTTCCGCAAAGTTTTTCCCAGGAGATTCCCACAACTACCACGTGAGGTTGAAAGGAAAGCTATTTCTGGCCCTATTCAATAGGGGAGCAAACATTCCTCGTGCTGCCACAATAGTGCACCTGCCTCAAGAACTTTTGTTTTGCAAAGAGCTCTATCAGTGATGTCACCTTTGCCGGCCAGGACTCTGGAAGGCAGCGAGCTGAATGCACAGGCAAGAATGTGGACTTCGGCCTCACAGAGCCCTGGGTTCAAATTCCAACCCCCCCCCCCCCCCCCCCCGCCCCTGGAATCCTGAGTAAGTATTGTAATGGCCAGGTGCCTCGGGTGCCTCACCTTTAAATGGGAGGCACAGGGACGTCTACCTCGGGGGCCATTCTGAGGATTAAAGCAGAGGGCAGCATTTGGGTTACCGGGAATGAAGAAAGCCATCAATCCATGTTGAGTGCTGTTTCCTTTTCTTCCTTCCTTCCTTCCTTCTTTTGATGAGGGCTGGGAAGAAGGGAGTGAAACGTCACACTACAGGGGCTGCAGGTGACCCGAGGTCTAGCCAGGAAAGGGAAAGCCCCACTTGGGGTTCAGGGGTTCTCAGGGCCAAGTGGCAGGGTGAGTTAGGAGGGGAGTGTGGAGGCCACAGCCCTCCATCGAAGCAGCTGACAGGCCTGTGGGAGGCCCTTCTCTCTAAGGCAGGGACCCCTGCTGCTACTGGGCTGATTTTGTGGATTGGGCCACACCTCACAGAGCTTTGTAACTCCCCACCCGCTAGCGGATAATGTCTTTCTCACCAGGGGGGTTTCCTGCTGTTAAAAACAAACAAAGGCTGTAGACACCGGGCTAGAGGCCTGGCAGGCGAGGGGCAGCAGGAGAAACGACCTGAGGGTCTGGAGTGACTCCTGACAGTCGCTACGGAGTTTGTGCGTAGAAGCCCCTAATTCTGCTGGTGGGGAGACAATCCCCAGGTACCCCAATATCCTGGGGTTTGCTTCCCACCAAGCCTAAGTTTGAATATAGAAACCTCCCGAGTACTCCCCCTCTGCCCCACTTTTTGCGAGTTCGCAGCTTTGGAAACAAAGCTCTCTCCTAGTTTTGGGGGTGTCGAATTTCGGATTTTTTTGTATCATAAGATTGCAAACACTCAGTAATGTAATTTCCCCTCCCCCAAGATAAATTCTAAAGCGCCCCCATTCATTCCTTCAAGAACGTAAAGATGTCTTTGAGGCCCATTTTCTGTCAGGGACTTGATTCACAAGGCCCAAGGGACCCCTGGCTCCGGCTATTATCCAGGGAGCCTCTGGGATCTCCAAATCCCCTCTTCTGAGAGCCCCCCTCCCCCCCATCCCAACTCTCTCCTTCGCACACAGGCTCCGGGCTCTCAGCCGGTGTGATCTCACCGATGAGAGAATAAAAAAACAATAAACAAAAAATCAACAACAAAAAAACCCCAGCTCCCGAGGCTCCGGCGCCGCCAAGGCCCCTGCCCGGGAACACCCCGCGCGCATCCAAGAGCGCGCCCCGACTTCCTGGGCCTCAGCGTTCCGTGCGCCCTTTCTGGGACCCGGGTGCCCCCCAAGGGTGCACCGCCGGCCTCTGGCCGGACGGCGCTCGCTCGCTGCCAGTCTGGCCCTCTCCAGCCCGCCGCTGCAACCGAGCTTCCTGAGTGTGGGTGCCGAGAGTGGACGCCACGGCGGGAGCCCGGCCCTCCCCTCTCGCTGCTCGATTCCCACGACTTCTTCCCGGCGTCCGCCGGCCTCGAGGTCCGGGCCGCGCGGGGTCCTGCGCGCACCAGCCTGGGCCGCCGCCGGCCCGGGTCGCCCACGTGGGCCTGCTCTGCGCCGGGCGGGGGAAGGCCGGGCGCCCTCCCGGAGGCCGGGGGTGGGCAAGGCGCCCGGGGATGGAGGCGGCGGGGCGCGGGGGAGGAGGCGGGGAGCCCCGGCGGCGAGGGGGCGGTGACAGCGCTTGGAAAGGAGGCTGCACGCGGATTTGCATGAAACACAGACTGGGAGCGGGCGGGAGCGGCAGAGGGAGCGGGAGCGGGAGCGGGAGCGCGGCGCACGCCCCGGGCCGGCCCAGCGAGCGAGCGAGCGAGCCGGGAAGGAGGAGGGAAGCGGGGAGGCGAGGCTGCCGAGGCGGAGGGATCTGCGCATCAAAGCGAGCTAGGCGAGCAAAGTTTGGCTGGGGGTTGGACTTTCCTTCCTGGAGGCGGCACCCAAACAGCTACCCGGTGCGGAAACCCAAACTTTCTTCTGCCACTCTGAGTCTCGCGGCCGCCGCCTCCGCCCCGCGTTCGGGGCCTTCCCGACCCGGCGCCGCTGTCGTCCGCCCGCCCGCCTCCCCCCAACCTCCTCGCCGCCCTCCTTGCCGCCGCGGGAGCCGCTCGGGGCGCAGGGCCGCGCGCCGAGCCCCGCTGGCTGCAGCGCCGCGGCCCGGCCCGGAGCACGGGCAAGTTCGCCAGGAGTTGAGGCGAAGTTTGGGCGGCCGAGCTCTCCTCTGCGCCCCCGGCGCCCCGCCGCGCCCAGCCCCGCCGGGGGCGCCCCTCGCCGCCCGCGCGCCCTCCCCAGCCATGTCGTCCATCCTGCCCTTCACCCCCCCGATCGTGAAGCGCCTGCTGGGCTGGAAGAAGGGCGAGCAGAACGGGCAGGAGGAGAAGTGGTGCGAGAAGGCGGTGAAGAGTTTGGTCAAGAAGCTCAAGAAGACGGGGCAGCTGGACGAACTGGAGAAGGCCATCACCACGCAGAACGTCAACACCAAGTGCATCACCATCCCCAGGTGGGGGGCCCTAGCGACCCGGGGGGCGCGCCCGCCCAGCCCCCTGGCGCGGCGGGGCCGGCCGGGTGGGTTGGAGCGAGAGGGCTGGTGTGTGTGTGTGTGTGTGTGTGTGTGTGTGTGTGTAAGGGGGGGCAGTGGGAGCGCGGTCCGGAAGGGGCCGGGCGGGGGGAACCCCAAACAAAACCTTCTGTGGATTTGCAAAGATTCAGAGCCTGGGGCTGCCACGGGGCACTCTCACTTCCAGACCTCACATTCATTTTTCACCTCCGGGAAAGGGGTTGCTGCTGGAATTGGCCGCCCCCACTCCGGGGAGCTGCGGGCTAGAAGTTGAGGCCCGCTTTGTTCAGCTCCGCGGGCCGGAGCCCCTCCTCCGCCGCCGCCTCCCGCCCCCGCGGCCCGCGCTCGTGGAGGTGGTGGTGTCCCTCCCTTTCTTTCCTTCAGTCCTGTCCCCCCACTTCTTTCCTCCGCAACAGGAATGCAGTCCGTACAGCTGGGGTTGTGGGTGAGGAGCGGGAACCTCGTGATTGACAGATTCCTTCTTCGCTCTCTCTTTGCCTTCGGGATTAGCATTTTTACCGAGTATTTTTAGACTCCGTTGTGCCAGTCTCCCGCCCCCTCGGCACACACGCACTTTAGTTGCAGCGCAGTGCTTTCAAATGAGAGACAAGTGGCAGAGGTTAGGGTCTTCTCTTCTCCCCTTCCCCCCTTCCCCCGACGATTTTTTGCCTGGCTTTCAGCCTGAGATTGCAGGCTGATGTAGGAGAGAGCGAGCTTGGAGCTGATCAGATAACAAAACGCACCCCAAAGTGGGCCTCGCATTCCTGCAGAGCCCTCCTTCCCAAAGCGCTTTGCCATCTGTCTGGACCTCCTTTCTCCTCCGCTTCGCGCTAGCTGGGTCAGGCGGGAGCTCACAGATGGCTGATAGAAGGGGTCAGTGACTTTTCTCCACTCCCCAGGGCCTTCTCTTAGTTTTGCTGCCCCTGGCTGGGAATTGGGGGGGGGGGTGTTGGCGGGGGGGTACACCTTAGCCTCCCGTCTCTCCCTCTGGGCCCCCTTTAAAGTCTGACTCTGCACCAAAGGGAGTATGTGTGCACACAGGGGTGGGATGTCCTTGGGGGTCCCAGGCTGCAGAGGAATGAGTAGAGGGTCTGCACCGCCTGAGCCCCAGAGAGAATGTCGGTTTTGCTGCCGGGCCAGGAGTGGACTGCATCCTTGGCCACCTGCTTGGGGCAGCTGTACATGGCCTACCAGCCCTGTGAGGCAGGCACAAAGCAACATCTGTCCACAGGAACCCAGAACAGGCCTCCTCTGGAAATAAATGCCACATATGGTGGGAGTGCTGACTTAAAAAAGTAATATATTTTTTTTAACTGGGTGGATCCAGTCAATAAAGGGGAGGGAAGGTGGTGTGTCGTCTGGGAAGTGCGCCCTGGGCGTGTGATCAGGAGCCAGAATTGACTTCAGAGGAGGTGGTATGATGTGATGGGGTCGTGAGCCTTGGATTCTGGGCCCAGCTCTGGTTCTGAATTCTTCTTTATTCCTTTGGTTGTTGGGGGGGCAGGGGTAGGGTGAATGACTGTCATACTTCTCCCATCTGGGGAGGGGTGTACAAAACGTGCCTTCTTACCTGTCTGGGTGCATTGAGGACAAGTGCTTTGTGCTTTGAAACAGAAAAAAAAAAAAAAAGAAAGAAAGGCATCAGTTACAAAATGAGCAGCTGCATCAAGTGTTTTATAGTTTACAGAGCACTTTCACATGGTTTTAATGCGATCAAGAAAGAAAGAAACTCCTGGAAAATAGATAAGGCTGTCAGACTGCAGATTTATCTCCTTTTTAAAGTTGAGAAAACTGGAGGAGGAAAGTGAAAAGGTTTGGCCTGGTGGACTTGGGACTCCACCACTTGTGCTCCTTTTTGTACTGTGCACTGCTCTCTACTTCGAAAGTTTTGAATGCATTCTTTGCTGAATGCTAGAGCGCAGTTAGCTTGGGATGGGGGCAGCCGTGGATCTCTGTTGGTAAGGTTGCTGATGTTCTGTCTTTGGGTTGGTGACTGCTTGGAGGAGAGCCCTTGCTTTCTCTTGCCTTGGTAGGGGTTTGCCCTCTAGGGAAACTTAGCTGGGGCCTGCCTTTTCCTCTTCCAAAGTCCTCCACAGCTTGAGGCATAGGAACGCTTTGGACATTTCTGAGAGTTCAAGCTAACTTGCGTCTGGCCTTCCCATGACTCTGATAGGAATGGGGCATCTTCCACCTGCCTTGGCAAGGGCCGAATACGAAGGTAGATTTTGTTTTCAACCTTTTCTCAGGGAAGCCCAGTTGCTTGGATGGATCCAGACAAAATGGATTTCCATCCCTGGATTTTGTGCCCACGCCTCTGGGTCACCTTGTCTCCCTTGGCAACGGCTGCCACTGTTTTGGTCGTGGGCAGGAAACTAAAGGCCACGTCTTGGGGAGGTGTCTAGCTGGCCTCCATGTTAGTGCTATCAGTGTCTGCTAAGCCCCAAAGAGTGTGGTGGTGTTTGTCCAATTGTCTGCTCTCTCTACACTACCTTGTATAACGAGGGCTTTGGAAAGTTAACCAAGGGATGTTTAACCTAGTTATCCCATGGTGTGTGGGGGATGGGGCACTGAGTGGTTAAAACTACCCTGGGGTTTCAGGAGACCTCAGTCTGGGGAGATGTGACAAGCGTGCTTTGGCTAGTACGTAATCGTGATCAGCAACAGCAACCTTTGGCAAGGACAGCCGTGTCCTAGGGTCTTCCAGACTGCATGCTTGTGGGTGTTACGCCGGCTCTAACCTGTCTCAGTGATCAGGAGAGCTGGAGCGTTACAGGCTTACCGATACCAAGAATGTGAAAGAGACCTGTGCCAAGGAAGTGGTAAGAGCTTGATTTAGATACACCAGCAGAGAGGCTATCAGGATACTCTGAGGTCTGGCAGTCTGGGCAGAACTTCGACACGTTGTATAACAGCATCTTACGTGTCACCTGCCTGAGTATCTAAGTAAAGCAGCGAGCATCTTCCCTGCCAGTTGGTAAGCATGGAGCCCCAGCATTTACTGTGGAGAGGAAGAGAAGGTGTGCGCATGCTAGGTCAGTAATCAGGGGCCAGGCACACTTAAGAATGACTGCTCTGAAGGACACTGGTAACCTGCGCTTCCAGTGACGGGCTCCATGCCTTGGCCCGGTTGTTGGGAGCTGGACCAAGCTTCCAGTCTGGTTGGTTTGGAAGGGAATTCGGGCTTTCTTGTGTCAACGTCCAGAGGAAAACGGGGAATTGAACCAGACGCCAGGTCTGACACATTCCATCTCCTCTTCCTTTGTGAATCTGTTCTTTGACCGTGGCCTCCTGCTGTTAGCCACCTGGACTTCACCAGTCTACTCTCACCCTCGGGAGAAAGGAAAAAGATCGTCATCTTGAAGGCTCCTTTCTCAGACGTCTGGGGGCAGACCTATTACGAGGGCTGCAGGAGTGGCTTCTTTTTAATACCCTCTTGACCTCCCTATCTCCTGTCCACCCACCTCTCTCGCTGCGGCTCAGAGCACCATTCTGGTGTAGCCCACGGAAAGTAAGTCCACTTCTGGCTGCCGGGGAGGTGGTCCATCCACTCCTTTCTCTGGTTAACCTTGATTAAGGGAGTTTCACACAGGGAGCTGGGAAGAGGAGGGACCCCGCAGACCCCGGTAGCTGACCGGGAGCTGGCTCCGAGCTCCGGCTGAACCTAAGAGCCACTTGATGTTCCCTTGACATTTGGAACCTTGGAACTTGCCGCTTGCACCCAGGAGTTAAATGTTTAGGCCAATGCATGTTGCAGACAGCCCTTTGCTCACAGTTCCTGATCAGAGGTTACGGGGTTGGATCTTGTTGATTCATTGATAGTTCTTGGCCCCCTTCCAGGTCTGAGTCAATATTCCGGGCAATGGGAGAGGATGCAAAGGTAAATTTGAGATGGCTCCTACCTGTGAGGAGCTTCCATTTCAGTAAGGGAAACATTGACAAGGCATTATTTGAGGGTCTAACTGCTATTTCTTTTTTATTCCGCGCCCCATCAGAAGAAAAATGAGTTCTAGCATGGAGTAATTTAAGGGTGGGGGTGGGGACTAAAATGTGTCTTTTAAATATTGTGGAAGTCATTGTTAGAAAACAAAATAATGGCAGCCATCTGGTTTTGCCAGAAAAAGCCCAGAATTCAAGTCCTGGATCTTGCCATTTTCATATCTGGATGGATTTAGGAGTTCCCTTTAATGTCTCAGAGCCTTCATGTCTGCACCTGCGAAATCAGGATGATAGAAGGCCTATGGAAATGTTTTGTAAACCAGGGAGTTTGACAGATATAAGTGTTATGTTTTTAGCCTTCTGTGTTTATCACTCATTCATAACTAAATTATTCACTCATTTGTTAAATATCTAGTACCATGAGCAAGGCAGGACACCGGTTCTCAAGGAGCTCCCTGTCCAGAGGGGGAGACGGACTTGGCCAAAGGTACAGGAAATGAGGTACAGCCGAGGGATGGACAAAGCGCCCAGGGATATGGGGACAGACCGTTTAATTCTATGGGAGGGGGTGGGGAGAGGAGGGAGGGGTCAATGCAAGGATTTATTATCCAAAGGAAGTTTCTGGACTACAAACATGATCATGTGAACTTTTGGGTATGTGGTGATACCAGTCTACAAGAATGAGGATGTCTTTATCTTCTTCTGTCTTTTGCTAAACTGAGTACTGTTGTAAAAATGTTACTTCATGGCCTGCATGGAAGGGCCAGTGACCTGTGTGCGGTATTTACTCTGCTTACAACGTTCTGTCCTTGAAGTAAAAAGTAATTTAGTATTGCAAACTTGAAATTCAGGTTTCCTCCGTGGGAACAGTGACTTTAGATATATTAGCTCAGAATATAACAAAGAGTGTCAGTAAAAACGGGGTAACTTGTTGATGATTGTGGATACTTAGAATTTCAGCATTTTGGTGTGACCTAGCTTTCTGGGTCTCTGGTTAACACTTGGCT